TGCCAGTATTTAAAAATCTGGAGATTTCACATAAAAATCTGAATTTCTGGCTTCTCTTGAAAAATGGGAGGATCTGGCAATCCTGAGCCTGTCATCCTGCATGGCAACAATCACCTAGAGCTGAGGAGTAGCTGCCCCATTTGGATGGGACACCTACTGTCCTGTTTGCCATAGTCTCCACCCAGCCTGTGTTACCAATTTACATTGCACTTTTGATGCCCATCTTAAATGCTACAGGAGGGCGAGGAAGCGTTGTGCTTCTGCCAAGCTTGAAAGGTTGGAAAGGAATGCGGGGCTGGTATTCCAGGGGTGGGGATGGTGTGAGCAGAGCTGCAGGGAATCGAGACCCACTCTCACTAGTGCAAATAAGGCAGTGGTACTTTGGCTCCCATAGACATCTGGGGGCAGTACACATGGGGCAGCTGGGACCAGAGCCAGAGGTTCAGAGAATAAAGCGACGACCTCTGAGCAAGATGGTGAGTGAGCACACACAAAATCTGCCCCCTCCATTCCAAACACGTAGGAATGATGGGTTAAAACAAAACTATGTTTAAAAAATTAGGAAAATCTCTGTGGGCCTGGGACGACCTCTGAGCAAGATGGTGAGTGAGCACACACAAAATCTGCCCCCTCCATTCCAAACATGTAGGAATGATGGGTTAAAACAAAACTATGTTTAAAAAATTAGGAAAATCTCTGTGGGCCTGCAGTGGGAGAGAAAACATAAGTGTGGTAAATGGGTTTGCAGCCAGTGGCCGTCAGGTTGCAGTGAGCTGTGGGAGCCAGCCCTTTGATGTCCATATGGGATGGGACATGGATGTGTCTTGCTTGTGGAGAGAAGAGAGCCAGTCAAGAGGTAGCCCTTGTTTCTCACAGGTGCTGAACTCTCTGGTGGCCCAGTATATGACTGGAGACATGCCACTTGCCTGTGGGCCAGGGAAGCAAGGAAAGCTCCTGAGTGGGGACAGTATCTTGTATTGTGCTATACTTGGGGCCTGCATCTGAAACTGTGTCACCTGGGTCCTCCTAAGTTAGGAGCAGCCTGGGCTGATGTCTCCCTTTGTATCTTCTTTATAAGGGACATTCCGAACAAATTAATCATAGAAAAAATGATACTAGAGTTGTACTTAATTCTTAAGAGGCTAAGTGCAGAACTTTTTCACCTGTTTGTTAAGGCATGTCCTGAGATCCTCTAATTGGTGACAGTTTGCAGGTGCTCACAGAACTTGAGTGTAATGAAACTGCATTTTACAGAATCAGGGTGTTTGAGAGAAAAGGATCACTGGAAGTAATCTTGGCATCTTCCCTTATTTTACAGATGAGGAAATTGAGGCCCAGAGATTTGCTTAAGATCACACAGCTGGTCGATGCAGATGCAGGACTAGGGACTGAGCCTGTTGTCTTGATCCTGGCTTTGATTTAGAAGCCTTGGTTTCTTTATGTATGAAATGGGGGTAACTTTCTGGCTTCGTGGAGACATAAAGAGACTGTAAAGAATAGAAGCATGCTCCTCCCCGCAGTTGGGGTACTGTCTCTTTCATGAGGCATTGTTGTACTTTTTTGTTTTGTTTTTGTTTTTCAGTCAGTTCCTCAGGGGGAGGTAGGGTAGTGGTGTGGCTAAGAGCGTGGATTCTGGAGCCAGCCTGTCCAGGTTTGGATACCAGCTTCACCACATACTGTGTGACTGTGGGCTAGTTACTTAATCTCTCTGCTTCTGTTTCTGCATCTGTATGGCAGGGCCAATAATAGCTCCTGTCTCATTGGATTATAGTGAGGATTGAATGAGATAAAGCATTTTAAAGCCTTTAGAACAAGCCTGGCACATCCAAAGCCCCCAATAAATGTTAACTGCCACTATTATCAGAATCATTACATAACAGATTGTATTTCCCTTTTCACTTTGACAGACAGAAAACTCACCACTGAATTTGGACTTTATCTTTAGACTCCCCACATAGGACCTAATGGCATGCATTTCTGCTTCCCTAACATTCTCTGGCTTTATTGAACTGTTTGGCTCTCATTTCCCCCGTCATCCTGATTTCTATATATTATTGCATCATATGTACTACTATAAGCTGTTTCAGAACAAGTTTGGAATTAATAAATTAAGAAAAATACAGAAATGGGTATTCAGACTGGCCTGATATCGTCTAGGATTATCTTGAATTAGGAGGTGAACTGTGTTACTAAAAAAATAGCTAACATTTTTGAGGGCTTATTGTGTTAGCCATTGTCATGCATGCTTTTCCTGTATTACCTTAAATCTCACAGTGACCCTCAAAGTAGGGCCTGTTATCTTCCCATTTTGCAGTTGAGGAAACTAAGGCTCAGAGAGGTGAAGTGACTCAGCTTCTGTTGCCAGATGCAGGCAACAGAGCCAGGATTCAAATGTGGCCTGCCCGACTCCAAAGCACATACTTTACTGCCTGTTCAGTGTTCTAGGGGTCCCTTGAGCTCTTGGGGGCACAAAAGGAATGATTCCAGGCCGCTGACTGGTGCTCTCTCTCCCTGTCCTTCGAGAGTTATTTTAGAATTACATTGTTCAATTTCTAAGCAATCAGGACTTTTCTAATTTTTTTTTTGATTATTGATTTTTAGCTTTAATTCCACTGTGGTCAGAATATATACTCTAAATTTAGTCTTCTGAAATTTGATCTATGCTTTATGCCCCGGCATATGGTTAAATTTTGGCAAATGTTCCATGTGTGCTTGAAAAAAGTGTGTATTCTGTCATCGTTGGGTGCAATATTCTGCCTGTATCAAACTGATACTAAGCACTTATTATATGTCAAGCACTATTCTTATATTAATGCATGTAGTCTCTGACAACCCCATGTGGTAGGCTACTTATTACTGTCCACATTTCACAGATGCGGTCACATAGCTAGTAGATAGGTAGCAGAGCTGCGTGTTTCAGACCTGACCATCTGGCTTCACAGCTATCGTTCTTAACAGCTATACTCCAATGCCAGCATAGGTCCAAAGCCTTTCCCCAGATTCCTATAAATCCCCAGGTGCCCCTAAACTCCTTAGTTTATAGTTTTTCTTGCTGTCCCTCACGTACCGTTATCTGTTTTGTACGATCGTTCTTAACAGCTATACTCCAATGCCAGCATAGGTCCAAAGCCTTTCCCCAGATTCCTACAAATCCCCAGGTGCCCCTAAACTCCTTAGTTTATAGTTTTTCTTGCTGTCCCTCACGTACCGTTATCTGTTTTGTACGGTACTGGCCCAGACACAAAACTCACCTCTTTCCTTGGTTTCCACAAAACCCCACTCACCTAAGTCAGTGTGTATGCCCTATGCTGAGGATTGCTGGGGGTGGGAGTGACGATAGGATGGATTTACCCCAGAGCATTACAAAGAACCTCAAGTTGAACGTCAGACCACCTCATTCTTAAAATCTGTTGACTTCTGCATCCTGGTATGTTGTACCCCCATGTATGCTGTTGCCGCGTCACCCCACCCTGGCCTGGCCTCACTTGGGCCTCGTGATCTTCTTCTTTCTCTTCTTCTTCTTCCTGCTCCCCCTCCAATAACTGCTCATTATTTAATAGTTTTTACTTTTCATCAAAGTATCGGTGTAATATTATAGGAAATATGCTTCTCTTAAAGGGTCAACTCAGTGAATTCTCATAAACTGGACACATTAAGATAACCCATACCCAGATCGAGAAATAACATTTCCAGCACCCAGAAACACCCTGTCACCACCTCCCATAGGTAACCCTTAGCCTGACCTATAACACCATAGATTAGTTTTTGCTTGGTTTTGAACTTTATAGAAACGGAATCATACAGTGTGTATTTTTATGACTGGCTTCTCCTCTCAGCTTTATGCTTGAGAGACTCAGCCTTATTGTGTATGCATTTCTAGAGAATTCATTCTCATTGCTGTAGAGTTGATTATGTGAATATACCACATTTATTTATCCTATTTACTATTGTTGGGCATTTGGGTTGTTTCCAGTTTTCAGCTATTTTGAATAATGTTGCAAATAAAATCCTTATACACATTTCTGATGGGTTTATACCTAGGAGTGAAATGGCTAGATTTAGGGTGTGTGTTCATCTTTAGTAGATATAGCCAGTTTTCCAAAGTGGTTGTAGCAATTTACACTCCTGCTAGCAGTGTGTGAAAATTTTGGTTGCCCTTCATCCTCACCAATAGTTGGAATTATCTTTTTCATTTTACTGTTTTGATGGGTGGGTAGTGGTGTTGCTTTGTAAACTGTTCATTTTAACACAGAGCAGCTTAGTTTTCATTGATAGTTATTTTAGTTTCTGCTTTCTGCTGCCTTAGGACATCAGCTTCCCCATAATGGTTTATGAAGGTGTTTTTTCAAACAAAGACCATTCTCTTCCTAGACAAAATTGCTGTGCCTGCTGTTAAGAGTATACAGTAAAACAAAAAATGAAACAAAACAAAACAAAACCATTCTTCAAAGTGTTTATGCTAAAATGTTAACTTTATCTCTGGGTAATGCAATTGTAGGTGCCATTAATTTTCTTTATGCTCATTTAGACTTTCTACATTGAACATATTGTTTATGTAATTAGAAATTTTTAGACAAGTAAACATCTCCACCTGTAACTCTTATACACTAGTGCAATTGTTGTCTTCATTTGTCTGGCAAATGTCTATATATTCCGAAAACCACCCAGCTGGAACAAAATAGGAGCGTTCAAACACTCTCCTTGGCTGAATGCAACCTGCACAGAAATGAAAATGCCAGCTACCCTTTTGGAGGACTCAGTAATTGTTTGAACCACATGAAATTGCTGATGTCTGCCTTGGGAATATATGTACATCATGTCATTTAGTTCTGGTTAGGGAGGGGTTTCAGCATCCCCATTTCACAGATGAGGAAAGTGAGGCTCAGAGAGGCTGAGTAGTCCAAATGAACCAGCTAGGAAGTGGCAAGGCTGGAATCTGAACCCAGGTTTCTGGCGCCAAAGCCCACTTTCCCCTGCCCTCTGCCGCCTCTCTCTCGCAGTGCCTGGAGGGATTGCAGCTGAGTCCCTGACCTTCACTCCGCTGGAGGACATGATTTTCCTCAAGTGGGAGGAGCCCCAGGAACCCAATGGCCTCATCACTCAGTACGAGGTGGGCTTGGGACCCTACTTCAGTGGGATCCCCTGGTAGAAGGTGGGAGGATGACCTTTCTCTCTGCTGCAGCAGCGTGGAGAGGGAGGTGCATGGGGAGGACAGAGGAGATCATCACAGGTCCTTCAACTGTGGCCAGGGTCTGTGCCTTGCAGGTTATGGGGAAGTCAGGAATTAGAGATGAAGGTATCCAGAGCCTGGCCTGATGGCATCCACAGTCCCACTGACCCTCTCCCTTTGCCCAGCCTCATCTTAGCTCTCCTGGCACATGGTGGCTGGGAGCCTACTAGGTCAGTGATACCTGCCCATCCTGCCACCAGATCAGCTACCAGAGCATCGAGTCATCAGACCCGGTGGTGAACGTGCCGGGCCCACGCCGCACAATCTCCAAGCTGCGCAATGAGACCTACCACGTGTTTTCCAACCTGCACCCGGGCACCACTTACCTCTTCTCTGTGCGGGCCCGCACAGGCAAAGGCTTTGGCCAGGCGGCACTCACCGAGATCACCACCAACATCTCAGGTGAGCCCTGCCCAACCCCAGCCTGGCCATTTGGAGGTGGCCTGGAATCCCAGGGTTCCATGGGCAGAGGGGAACTGTGGGGTAAACTGGGGGTGGTTACAGAGGGCCCCTGCTAAGTGTGCCATTTAGGGGTTGAAGTCAGGGGTCAGGGAGGATTATGTAAGACAGGTCTGGAGACTATGGTCAGTGGAATCAGAGAGTTGAGGTCAGGAGTCAGTGCCCCAGGTCAGGGGCCAGTAAAGCTCATGTCAGAGGGAATAAAGAGGCTAAGGCTGAAGGGGAAGAGATCTGAGGACATGATCAAGGAGGCTGGAGCCTCCATGCTTATGTCCCTGTCCCCTTCCCCAGCTCCCAGCTTTGATTATGCCGACATGCCGTCACCCCTGGGCGAGTCTGAGAACACCATCACCGTGCTGCTGAGGCCGGCACAGGGCCGTGGTGCACCCATCAGGTGGGAAAGCCTGGATGGAGGGGCGGGAGGCCAGGGTAGAATCTGACCCCTCCTCTGACCCAGACCCCCCCACTCAGGCCAGATCACCCTTGTCCTCCTTCAGTCTCCCACTAAGGGCTCAGAGTGTCTGGAGGAGGATGTTCTGTGATCCTGGGCAGGTGGAAAGCCTGTGGTCTCTCCCCTCTGAGGCCCTGGGTCTCTGATGGTGACTGTCATGAGGTCTCTACCTGGAGAGGGGACTGTCCAGGCATCTATAGCGGGCCTTCATTCAGACACCTTGGAGAAGTGAAACTCTGGGGCCTCATTTCTCCTTAGCTCTTTTCCTGGAGACATAGGAATGGACTTTCTAGAAGGCCAGGGCAGCTGGCCAGATGGTGCCATTTCTCTGGAGTGGCCAAGAGCTTGGCTTCTCTGCTTCCTTCTCCCCAGAGGAAGCCAGGGCTGCTGATACCACAGTGGCTGCCTCTGCTGGAGAGAAGGTGCTGGAGACAAGATGGGGGATGTGTGTTTGTGTGTCTGTCTGTGAGCCTAGGTGTGTCTTTGTGATAAAGACATGTGATGTGTGGTGAGGAGGTGTGAGCATGTGTGAGAGAGCATGACAGTGTGCAAGTGTGTGCACATATTTATTGTTAGCCAGACACTGTGCTAGGGACTTTATGTGCATGAAATCATATCCTTGTGCCAATCCTGTGGAGTGGGTACCATGACCCTCATTTTATACATCAAGAAACTGCACTAAATAACTCGCCCCCAAGGCCACACAGCTAGTATGTGATAGAGATGGGATCTGGAACCCAGGTCTGTCTGCAAAGCCTGTGCCTTTTCTAGAAGTCATAGAGTCCGCCTGCCCATCTTGTCTGTCCTTTCCTTCTACAAAGGTACATGCACTGGGAGAGGGTGATAGCCTTTAGGTGGGGAGTGAGAGGGTCCTCATCAGCCCCCTAAGAAGGTAGTGAGTTGCCCAGGTACCCTTGGAGCCCCTCACCTCCTTACCCCCTATTTCATCCCCTCCTCTCCTCTCCTGCTTTGTCTACCCCATATTTGCCACTGTAAGTCCTGCCCTGGGTTGATTCCCAGACCCTCAGGGAAGACCCAGGACAAAGTCGGCGACGGTGGGGCATTTTGAATTTGCTGGAGCCTCAGGGCCCTTGTGCAGCTGAATCTGTGAGGGTTTGGGAAACCCTTCTCCTTTCCTTGTCCTCTTGAGGGATCCTGTGAGCAGAACTGGCCACGTGCTCAGGGATGATGATGGCAAGGCTGGGGGAGGGGGGCAGGGGGGAGGACATGGGGAGAGGCAGGATGGCTGTTTGTCCCTGGGCACGTCTCTTCACCTCCCTGAGCTTCCATTTCTTTATCTGCATAATGGGGTCATCCAGATTAACATGCACTTTGTTCACGGCTAATGTTCATCATCATCATCTCCTGGTGGGACTTAGGGCTGGGAGAAGCCTGGTCTCAACCTGTGGAAATGGAGGGTCAGACCAGGTTCATGCATTCATTCAGAAAGTGTTTACTGAGCTCAGACAGTGGTCCGTGTGCCAGGCACTTAGTGGTCTGAGCTTCTTGGAACTGACCTCTATTGGGAGAGACAGTCACTAAGCAAACAAGGACACACCTAACATTACATCTCTAGTACCCCCTTGACCCTGTCACAGACTACAGTCTGCAAATCAGAGCCCTGGGTCCCGACTGCCTCAATTTCCCCAGGCTGACAGGGACTTGGACTGGTGTTTATAGTGGGCTAATGACAGGCAATAGGCTGGTGACCAACACTCTGGGATGATTCCCCACAACTCGGAAGCTCCAAAGAAATAGGTGGAAGGCAAGGAAAAGGCATTCCTGGTTCCCAGAGCAGAGGCTGTCAGTATGGGATGTCGAATGCCAAGATGTGACCGGGGTTGTGACAGGATATACTTAAATTTGTCGGCATTCACGTATTTACTCTCATTTTTGCTCCATTGAGGATTTGGAGGAGCTCACAGCAAATGGCCGTTCAGTAAAGTGATAAAATAAGCTGACACACAGATGTCAGGACCAGGGGACACAAATCAGAGTGAGCAGTCAGGACCCGGGGACAAAGGGGCTCCTATTTGCAGACTATAGGCTGCAACAGGGTCGAGAGGGTAATAGGGATGTAGTGTTAGGAGTGTCCCTGTTTGCTTAGTGGCTGTCTTTCTCATGAGAGGTCTGTTCCAGGAAGCCCAGATCCTGAAATGCCTGGCATAGGGCCCAATGTCTGAGCTCAGTAAACACTTTCTGAATGAATGAATGAATCTGACCTAACCCTGTAATTTACCAAGGCCCAGAAGGGAGCCATCGGTAGCTTCAGTTTCCCAGGTCCCGTGTCACACACAGGAGGACTCATTGAGGAGGCGGGAACCTTATGGCTTGGTTCCACTGAACCAAGCCCATGACTCTCTCAGCTTTGGTTAGTAACAGGAATAACAGTTAACAAACACTGGCTGCTTGTTAAACTTGCCTGTTCTTCACATCTACCTCATGGAACAGTCCTGTAATCACCCCCGTTTTATAGGAGAGGAAACTGAGGCCCAGGGAGGTTAAGTGACTTGCTGAGCTAGTAAGGGGCCCAGTTGAGATTAGTCCTCAGGTGGGCCTGTCCCCAAAGCCCATGCCTGTAGTCACCACATGGCTCTCCTGGTCCTCTGGCCTCCTGTGATCACTTGCACTCTCCGCTCCCTGTCCAGCGTGTACCAGGTGATCGTGGAGGAAGAGAGGCCACGGCGGCTGCGGCGGGAGCCAGGTGGCCAGGACTGCTTCCCAGTGCCGCTGACCTTCGAGGCGGCGCTGGCCCGTGGCCTGGTGCACTACTTCGGGGCTGAACTGGTGGCCAGCAGCCTGCCCGAAGCCATGCCCTTCACTGTGGGTGATAACCAGACCTACCGCGGCTTCTGGAACCCACCGCTGGAGCCCAGGAAGGCCTACCTTATCTACTTCCAGGCGGCAAGCCACCTGAAGGGGGTGAGGGAACATCCAAGGTCGTGGTGGGAGCGGTCGGGGGAGGTGGACGATAGGCTGGGGACACCTTGGAGCTGGCCCACCAGAGACTGGAGACCTCAGGCTCCGCCCCTCCCCTAGCCCGGTCCTCCCAGCCCCAGCTCTTTCCTCCTGAGCACTAGGCCTGTCCTGAGCCTTCTTTCCCAGGATCCTACTTTCTTTCCAGGTCCCCAGTCTAGTCCCTGCCCCTTCCTGAGGCCCTGCCTTCTATCTCGGGCCCCATCTCACGTTCCTGCATTCACACCTCAAGGCCTAGGCACCTCCTCCTCCCTGAAGCCCCACCCTATGCTCCAGGTTCCTCCTTCTCAGATATCTCCCTCCAGCTTCCCCCTTCCTAGCCAGACCTCCGGACCTAGTCCCTGCCCCCTTTCCCAGGCTGTTTCTTTCTCTCCTGCCTCTGATCTCATCCCCCTTTCCTAAGGTACTGTCTTTGCAGGCATCTTCCTTCTAGGTTCCCTCAGGCCCTCCTGCAAGATGGGATGTCCTCAGTTATTAAAAAAAAAAAAAAAAAAAAAAAAAAAATCAGACAAAGCCTCATCAGGCTGTGTGAGGTTCCCACCCTGGGGAGGGTGAGGTGGGGGCTTCAGCAGTGCTGAGACCCTCATCTGTGCCTCCAGGAGACGCGGCTGAATTGCATCCGCATCGCCAGGAAAGGTAAGTGCCGCTGAGTTCCTTCTGTCCTTCAGGGGCAGATTTCTCAGCTGCTAAGCTCCGGGGTGGTGGGTCCTGAGGACCAGGGCTGTGGGAGCAAAGGAGGGTGGTGGGCAGGCCTGGGGTCAGGGAGAGTTTCCCTTCTTGGTCCCCACTTCAAGGGCTCCTTCTCCCAGGCTGGGCAGCAGGCCCCCAATACCCCCCATGGTTACAGAGGCACCTTGGCAAGGTCCAGGAACAGGCCTGTGGAGGGGGAACCATTATGGTTGGGCCTTGGGGAAGATGCTTACTGGGTGCTGGTTCTGGATTCTGTGTCTGCCCCCCTTTCTTTTGGTGGAGAGAGAGGTGGGGACAGCATGGACCCTGTGGTTTAGGGATTGTCCCTGATTCCAGTCAGGGAAGGTAGTTGGTTTCTCATCCTGAGATGCCCCAACCATGCCCTAGGTACATATTTCTTTCTCCCTGTCATCTCCCAGGAGGGCAGGAGAGTGGGTCTGAAGACCCAGGTGTTCCTCCTCCCTGTCCATTGAAAGCTGGGGAGGATTTGAGAAAGTAGAGAGGAGGGGGAAGCTATTCCTGAAAGGGGAGCCGTGTAAGTAAAGACCCTGGCACGGAAATGCAGAAGGTATAAGGGGCAGTGAGGAGACAGATCTAACTGAAAGGCAGGACACGTGTTGAAGATGGGGGCAGTTGTCTTGTGCACGTGTGTTTGTGCAGGCTTGGGGCTCAGACTCCTGCAAGCAGGGTCTAGGTGGTCCCTAGCTCCCCTCTGATTTTTTGTCCTGCTTTGTTCTCCTCAGCTGCCTGCAAGGAAAGCAAGCGGCCCCTGGAAGTGTCCCAGAGGTCGGAGGAGATGGGGCTTATCCTGGGTATCTGCGCAGGGGGACTTGCCGTCCTCATCCTCCTCTTGGGGGCCATCATTGTCATCATCCGCAAGGGGTGAGTGAGGCTGGCGCCCTGGCCCACCAGTGGCTGCTGCCCCTCAGAGGCCTGGTGGGCACAGAGGAGTGGTGGCTGGGGCTGTTAGGGCAGCTGCCTGGTGGATGTGTAGAGGGCTGCCAGCCTGGGCATCAGGTCTGCCGATGGACACAAGCTGGGCGATGGGAAGCCAGAGACTCAGTAAATGGAGTTGCCCTGGAGCAGCATGGCTGGAGCACAGGTCTGGCTGGTGCCAGGAGCCACTGTCCAGGGAAGGGCGCTCAGTTTCTGGTGCCAAGGAGCTGTGCTGGAAGTGGTCACCACTTTCCTGTGCCTGCTAGGACAGTTCCAACAGGGAGGGTGTGGAGGTGATCTGACTTTGAATTTCCAGCCCCCTGCAGACCTTCAGCCAACTTGTCTGCTCTGACCCTGGGATTGTGTGGTTGACCCTGAGCAGGGGGGTGGTGTTTACTTCCCTTCAAACAAAGGGTCCTTATCCAAGGCTCTTTCTAGGACCCACTTTCTCTTGGTCTTAGCTTCCAGACCCTGTTACTGTGTATCATTAGAAATCTTCCTGGGCCGTGGCTGAGAGAAAACCCCCTTTCTGGTCCTACCGTCCCCAGACTCAAAGGTCCAGCCTCTTGTTTGCCCAGCATGTGTTTCTTAGTGCATTTTGCAGAGGGCAGCATGAATCCCAGCACATCTTAGAATCCAGAACTTAGAACCTTGGAGTTACAGAAATCCATGGTCGGGGATTCTAAAAGTCTTAGACTTTAGAATTGTAGAGAGGCTCAGAGCCCCAGAATGTGAGAGCTGCCAGATAATTGAAGGACATCTAGTCTAGCGGTTTTCAAATCTTTTTAAAGCAACAGAACCCGTCTTCAAAATGCACAAAAAACTTCCCCTTGGAGCCCAGTACACGGAGAAGATGAAGTCTGAGGCAGGTTGGAGCTGCTCAGGTTGGGGGCAGGGCAGGGGCTTCTGAGACCCCTCTGCATGCCACCCCCACCCCACCTCATTCCTCACTAGGCAGCCCCAGGACCCTGTGGGTCCAAGCACTGTAATTGAGGGTTAGGGATGCTGCAGTGCAGAGGGGGCGTGGACCTGCTCAAGGTCACCCGGGGAGCCAGAGGCAGAGCCAGCTCTGCCCCCTCCCTACCTGGGCTCTGGCTTCTGCAACCCCTGATGCTGCCAGGCTGGGCACACATGGGTGAGTTGGCACTGGATCTCTGGGCTGCTGAGAGCAGATAAGTAGGATCCAGAGAGATGAGAGATAGCTGGCTGGGGCCTCCTTGCCTGAGGCCAGGCACCAGCAGGAGAGAGAGTCTGGTGATGGGGCATGCCAACGAGTGGGGGTGCTGTGAGGGGATGGCCTATCTAGGGTGTTAGCTCTGATTTTCCCTTCCCTAGTCCCTGTGCAGCTTCATTAGAAAATATTTTCAGCTATCATTTAATCATTTAACTTTCATTTATCATTTAATTACTATGTGCCAGGAGCTTTACTTTACACACATCGCCATTAGAACATTAGTTATTGAGCACCTACTATGTGCCAGGCACTGTTTTGGCACTCACGATACATCAGAAGACATTTCCTTCTGGTGTCCTGACCCCTGAAGCAGGTCTGACTCCCTTTTTATGAATGAAGAAACCATAGTTAAAGCAACTTGTTCATGCCATTTGGTTGATAAGTGGCAAGTCTGGGTATAGTAGGTGCACTGCAAGTGGCAAGTCCCTGTACTTCTCCCCAGCAGAGGTGGGGGTGGAGAGGGCTGCAAGGGAGGGGTCAGATTTTAGGAGGTTTCAGGTGGTATTTGAGATCCTAGGAATCTAGTAGGTGAGAGGATTGGCAGAGTGGGGGTATCACCCACCCCTGCAAAGAGAGCAGTGGGCTCAGGGGAGGGTGGATCAGAGATGCTGTCAGGACCTCACTAGCAAACCCTGTGTCATGTGAGCATATAAGCCCTTCTAGGCTACCCCAGAATCTTCTAAGATGCATGTCCCCTGCCCTGTACCTCCTTACCTTCTCTAAAAGCCATTCAATCTCACTCTGTAGCAACTTACTACATCCCTCTGGATCCTATCCTGGCCTCAGGGACCACTGTGCTCTTCAGGGCTCCCCCAGGTTGCATTGTGGGTGTCATGGGACAGAGCAGCTCTGGCAGGGATGGGGTGTTCAGGTCAACTTGGGGCGCGAATGTAACTGACAGAGTAGGCGGTTGCTGAGGGAGGGCAGTTACCCTCCTGTGATTCCTTGTTGGAGGCAGGAGGGGCCCAGGGCTGATTATGGGAATCAGTTAGGGGCCAGCTGGGAGATTTCAGACTCTCCATCCTGACTGGGTGCACCTGCCCTGGGGGAACTCCAGGGTGTGGAAGGGAGGTGGGGCAACCCTGGCTCTGCTTCCATGGGTCCCCACATCCCCCTCTTCTCCTTTGCAACCTGTTTTCCACCCTGCACTTTTTTGTGTACTGACTTGTAGTGCTTTGCTCAGTATTTGTCTTCCCTGCTGGATTAAGAGCTCCATGAGGGCAGAGCAAGTTCTGCCTAGTTGGCTGTGTGTCCCCAGGGTCTAGTGGATTCAGGTCCCTCAGCTCAGCAGCCCAGCGAGGCAGGGAGGAGCTGCATGCAGGCGCCTGCCGAACATGTGCGTCGTGTTGCTTAAGCTCACGGCAGTCCCTGTGGGGGGATTATTATTAACCTCACTTTTTTAGGAAGGAACCTCATGGAGGCGAAGCTCTTTTATTTATTTCTACTCATTTCAGCGAAGTATTTATTGAGGGATTGTAATGTGCTGGGCCCTGGGGATCCAATAGGCGTAAAAGACAGGGCTGCTGCCCTCTTGTACTTTGTAGCTAGTAGGGAGCCCAACATTAAACTAGATAAAACACCAAAGGATGAGGTAATTACACATTGTGAAAAGAGTAAGATGCCTGGGGGTAGGGGGTGGAGGGGAAAGAGACAGAGAGAATACAGGGGACATAATGTAGTTGACAATTGTGGGTAGTGGTCAGGAAGGCCCTTTTGAAGTTATGACATTTCAGTTGAGACCAGAAGACTGCTGTTCCTTTCACCATCCCCCCTCCCCTTTGGTGCCTCTGTGACCAGCCCTAGGTCCCCAGACCCTCCCCTCCCTCCCTCGGATGGGTGAGATGTGTGACCTGGAGCCAACCCCCTGCCCTCGATGGGCCTCAGTCTTCTGCTCTGCTCTCTCCTTCTGTCCCTTAATCTGCAGGGTTTCCTGGCAGAAGGCCATTTGTTGGAGTCCCTGCTGAGGGGGCGATGTCGGTGGGGGGTGGTGAATGGAGGACCCTGGAGCATGCCTGGATGGGGCCTTGGGAGGGAGCACAGAGGAGGTTCCAGGGCCAGGGTCCTGGGACAGGCGTTTGGAGGCCTACAGTCTGCTCTGGACTCCGCCACTGACCCCCAGAGAGTCCCAGGGCGGCCCATGATTCCCTGTGACTCAGCTTCCTTATCTGAAATAGGAATCTGCCCTGCTCTGCCTTCTCACTGCAGGCGCTTTGTGATAACATTAGGGCTCTTGATCCAAGATATGCTTTGGGTGCCCCATGAGGGGGTGACCTGGCTCCTTTAGTGGACCCCACACCCAGGGGCAGTCATGGTGGGTGAGGGTGGGCCGTAGGATTGCCCTGGGCGTCCAGCTGGAGACCTCTTCACACTGCCCCTGTTTCCAGCAACTCTTTCCCTCCCAGGCAGAGGTGTATGCAAAGGGTTGTCCCCTCTGGGGGCAGAGTGGCCTGCAGGTGGCCAAGGGGACTGCAGGGACTGAGGCTGGGGGGCTGTCTTCAGGGATGAGAGCAGCCCCTGCTGAGCGCAGTTACCCTCGATTGTGTGTGTGTGTATGTGTGTGTGAATATCCACCTGTGTCAGTGAGTGTATGTCAATGTGTTTGAGTATGTGTGTGTAAGAGTGCATCTGCATGTGTGTGTGTCTGCATTTGTGAGTGCGTATGAGTGTGTGTCTCTGTGTTTCTCTGTGTGTGAGTGTATGTATGAGTGTGGATCTACATGTGGTTTGTTTATGCATGGACGTGCGTGCGTGTATTTCTCTCTATGTACAGTTGTATGCAAAAGCTCTGCGTCCCCCCAGGCCCTTTCCCCACCTCCTCCTCACTCCAGCAGCAGGCATGGGAGGTTTCTGGAAGGTTCTCTTCCTCAGCATCTGAGACTTGGGGAAGGGCCATCAGTCCTGGTCCTCAGCATCTGTGCCTGACCAGTCCCTGGGACAAGAAAGGACCTTCTGACCTGTCCTGTCCCTGCCTGGGCCCCTCCCTGCTGGCTGGGCATGGCCTCAGCCTGGCCTTGCTGGAAGGACCGTGGACACAACTGTGTTGTTCTCTCTTTGCACGCTGCCAGGAGAGACCACTATGCTTACTCCTACTACCCGTAAGTAGCTCCGCCTGGCCTCGAGTCCCCTCCTAGGGCGAGACCTCCTGCCCTGCCCGCTCTGCTGGCTCAAGTTCCCCACACCCGGCCTCGTCTGGCGTCCACCTGCTTTCCAGGCCACCTCATGTGCAGTCGGGGCCCTGCTTCTGCAGTCAGGGTCACGGGGTCAGAGCTGGATCCACTGAGTTGCCTTAGGCAAGTCGTGGAACCTCCCGAGCCTCAGTGTCTTCTCCACCACCCGGGAAGCCCCTTATGACCTTGAACTGTTCCTGGTGGTCAGAAGGATGTCCTGACCTCAGAGCAAATCCACGTCCAGGGATGACCTCAGACAGGTCCCGCTCTGGCGTCCACGGCATGTGTGTGTCCGCGTGTAGGGCAGGGGCTGACCTGTCCCGACACTGGCAGCTCTGCCCCGAGCGCAGATGACTCCCAGGTCCCCACAAGCCCTTTGTCACCCAGGCAGCCCCAGCTCTGCAGACCTGCCTTTCCTGGGCGCTTCCTCTGGGCCAAGCCCTGTGCTCAGTTGTGACACAGAATCCTCACAGCAACCCTGAGAAGGAGGAGCGATCGTCACTCCCATTTCACAGATGAGGAAACTGAGGCTCAGAGAGGTTGAGAGACTTGTCCGAGGTTGCAGAAAGTGCCAGAGCTGGGGTTACAACCCAGGCCCCCAGCTGACTGCATGGCCTGCTGACTCTACTGTTCTGTCTCTGCCTTCTCTTACTCTGCAAGCCTTCTAGAACATTCCCCCCACAGGTGCTTATTGTCCCTCCCTTGCGGAGCATCAGGCCCTGATGGCCCCGGGCCAGCCCGGAGGACAGAGGGTCTCACCTGCTCCTGCCTGGGCCTGCTGCTGACGGCGCTGTTCCCAGCGTGGGCTTTGCCGGCAGCCACGTCTCACGGGCGCCCGCTGAGCCCCAGCTCGGCTGTGCGGAGCTGCTGACGCGGCGCTTCCCCCCTCGTTCCCTGTGCCCTGTGCGGGTCGTCTTTGAAAGCAGATGCGGGACTTTTCCACGTGTCTGCCTCATCCCGTGTCGAAATCAGCCGGATGCCCGCAGGCGTCAGGTGTCCCTCTGGGTTCTGTCTTCTGTGGACATGGTTGGTGTTTGTGGTTTTTCCTCCAAGGAGGCTGGGAGTCCCTAGCTGGGGACACAGCCTGTGGTTCCCCACTGGAGACTGTCCTCTGGCTTCTCTTACTCTGCAAGCCTTCTAGAACATTCCCCCCACAGGTGCTTGTTGTCCCTCCCTTGCGGAGCAGGCCCTGATGGCCCCGGGCCAGCCCTGAGGACAGAGGGTCTCACCTGCTCCTGCCTGGGCCTGCTGCTGACGGCGCTGTTCCCAGCGTGGGCTTTGCCGGCAGCCACGTCTCACGGGCGCCCGCTGAGCCCCAGCTCGGCTGTGCGGAGCTGCTGACGCGGCGCTTCCCCCCTCGTTCCCTGTGCCCTGTGCGGGTCGTCTTTGAAAGTGGATGCGGGACTTTTCCACGTGTCTGCCTCATCCCGTGTCGAAATCAGCCGGATGCCCGCAGGCGTCAGGTGTCCCTCTGGGTTCTGTCTTCTGTGGACATGGTTGGTGTTTGTGGTTTTTCCTCCAAGGAGGCTGGGAGTCCCTAGCTGGGGACACAGCCTGTGGTTCCCCACTGGAGACTGTCCTCTGGGCCAGTGTCCACCCGCCGACGGGTGCACTTTGGGCTCGATAGTTCAGCCAGCCTGGCCGGCCGCCATCTGCCCATGGCCCTGTGTCTGTCTTCCTGTGGTTTGCTGGTGTCTGGCCTGTCCCTCCCTCTCTTTATGTCCCCTTCTTATCTCTCTCGTCACTGTCCCTTTACTTTCTCCTGCTCCCCCTCCTCCTTCTCTGTATCCTCCTAATTCCCTCCCCCCTCAAGATGGTCAAGGTCACAGCCACAGCGGCTTCCCCTCACCCACCCCCACAGGGGTCTTAGCCTCTATCCTGGGCCACAGTGAGGGCAAAGCCCAGAGTCTGGCGGTGGGGCTGGGGGGAGGAGGCCTGGGCCTGCTAAGCTGCCTCTCGTCCAGGCTGGGAAGGCTGTGCCCACCTCCGTGCCCAGCAGCAGTGGTCCCAGTGTGGACACACAGCTGTCATCTTAGCACAGGAGGGACATCCTGGCCCTGGTAGGAGAGGCATCCACAGGTCATCCTGTCTTTCCCCTGCCCCAGGCAACTCTTCAGTCCAGGACAGGCTGACTGTACTTTGTCTGCCTAGAAGGTGCCTTCATTGACCTCATCCCCACTGATGAGGGGATGAGTGTCTCTGAGCCTTCATAACCTGGAAGTCCTTTCTCATGTCTACCCCTCATCTGCACGCTATAGGGCTGAGCAGGTGAACAGCTCTCTCCTCTTGAGCCTTCCCTGTGATTGGGCCCCCAGACTCTTCCTCAGCCTTGAAACATGTCGCAAGTCATTTCTTTTGCCTGTTGCTTGGTCCTCTATCAGGTAGCTCTGTTCCCTGCATCCCCACTCCCTGTCTCCCACTTTCCTCCAAGTTCCTCTGGAGTCACAATTGCCGTCCTCATCTCCGAAGCTGGGCCTGGAGGGAGGACGTGCTTCTCACCTTTACCCTCTGCTGCTTGCAGCAGCAGGGTGGCTGGTGGGCAGTGGTGGGAATATGGGCCCAGAGTGGATCTCTTTTCAAATCTGGTGGTCCATAGAGGGACCATCCTGGGGGGTTCTGGGAGTAAGAGGAAGCCAAGGTTGGGGTTCATTCTATGCCCTGTGGAAAACTGAGCACTGGGCAGACCCTCTGCCGTGAAGGAGGAGCGTAGTCCACCCCTACTGCAGGAGAAAAAGGAATTCCTAGGGCAGGTCTCTGGAAGGGCAGGAGAGGAAGACGGGAAGGGTGTGTTCCGGGACTGAGCTGATGTGGGGTGGTATAGGGTGGCCATCTGCTGTGACATCGAACTAGGCCCAGAGTGACTTCCCCTCCCATTTCCTGAGCCCACAGGGCCAGTGAGAGTTAGGAGTGGGGTCCCAGCCCAAGGCTACTGCTGCTCCATCCCTTGCTGTCAGCAAAGGTCCCCAGGGCAGGGCCTCTGCCATCCTCTTTGGGGGAGGCAGAAGCTCTCTGGGTGTGGTGAGTGAAGGGTGGAGGCAGAGCCCCCTCAGCATCCAGAGATGCTTCTAGAATGGCTGCCTACTTCTGGCCTCAAGGCGCCCTGACTGCTGGGCTCCCCTCCCACCTCTGGGTGCTGTCCAGCCCCACACAGTGCCTGTGTCTCCCATCAACTCCTTCTGCAGGAAGCCGGTGAACATGAACAAGGCCACTGTCAACTACCGCCAGGAGAAGACCCACATGATGAGCGCCGTGGACCGCAGCTTCACGGATCAGAGCACCCTGCAGGAGGACGAGCGGCTGGGCCTGTCCTTCATGGACGCCCACGGCTACAGCTCCCGGGGTGAGTGCCCGGCCCCCCTGCCCCTTCCTCATGGCTCTGGGGCCCCCACCTGAGCCAACAGGCTCGAGCCCCTCTGGGGCCCACCCCACATTGGATGAGTTCTGTAACACCCTGAACCAAAATTGAAGCATCTATTATGCTCCTGCTGGGTACCAGCACTGGCACAGGAAGTACAGAGAAGGCACAGGTGGCGTCTCTGTATTGTGTACTGGAGGAGCTTGCATGGAATTCTGCTAGCATAAGAGGAATGCAGGATCCACTGTGACAGTTGTCAAGGAGGAGGAGCAAAGTGCTGCTGTGTGAACAGAGGGGACCAGAGTGGCCTCGCTGTGTGTTGAGCACTCACTGTGTGAGAGGCAGAGATCTAGAGGCTGAGAGGGACTGATCTGGAGTGACAGAAACCTGGGCTTGCCTCTCAGAGTCCCTTCTTAGCTTTGTGACCTGGGGCAAGTTGCTGAACCTCTCTGGGTTTCTGTTTCCTCATGTGTAAAATGGGAATAAAGATCATCTCTGCCGGTAGGGCTGATGTGAAGACTGAGATAATGTGTGTAAATCATTTAGTGCTGTGCCTGAATTCACAGACTATAGTGAATCTGCTGTTACATGCTAGGAGCGTGTCATAAATAGCTTCATCCCACATCTTCTTATTCTTTTTAGTATTGATTTGTAGAAAAGAAAATAAGTAATGTTAGCGAAACTCATAAAATTATAACAGAACAAACACCAGTGGACCCCACTGTTGGAGAACATCATCTGGGTGCTCCTCCCCATTTCCTTTCCTACCTCCCTCTTAGGTATAAATATTCCCCTGAAATTTGCATTTGTAACTTTCCTGCATTTTTGGGTGTAGTTTTACCATGAATGCATATATCTCTAAACAATGCTTCTTCATATAGTTTAGCTCATTTTCAAGCTTTATAAAAACGAAATACTCTATTTTTCAACTCAACATCTTGTTTTTAACATTTATTCATGTGGATGTTTTGCTGTAGTTCATTTATTATCTCTGATGTATAGTTTTCAATTGTATGACCATATCACAATTTACTTCTCCGTTCTGTCACCCATGGATGTTTGATCGGTATCTAGTTTTCTTGTGATCACAAATGAGGCTGCTGTGAACATTCTTGCGTGAATTTCTAGAAGCACCTGCATGTGAGATTCCGGAAGTAAAATTGCTGGATTATAGAGTACGTGTGTGTTCAACTTAATAAGAGGGGGCCAAGTTGTTTTCCAAACTGGCTTTGCCTCTTTTCGCTCCTAGCAGCAGTGTGTCAGACTTTCTGCCGCGCTGCATCAAGACCAATTTGCCAGCCTTCTTCATATTTGCCAGACTGGTTTATATAAAGTGGTAATTCTCTATAGTCTTAATTTGCATTTCTCTGATTACTAATGAGGTTGAACGTATTTTCAAGTCATTATTGGCCATTTAGGTCTCTTCTTCCATGAAATGCCTGTTCATGTCTTTTACTGAATTTTCTATTGGGTTTTTCTGTTGCATTCTTAGTGGTTTTTAGGAGTTCTTTATATATTTAGGATAATAATCATTTGTCACTTATGAATTACAAATATCTTCTTCCAACTTGTTGCTCATTTTTCCAGGTTATTTATAGTGTCTTTGTATGAACAAGAGGCTTTTATTTGAATATAGTCAAATTCGTCAGTCTTTTCCTTTTGTGCTTTCTACTTTTTGTGTTTTCTTATGTAAATACTTCCCTACCCAAGGTCATAAGGTATTTTTTACTTTTTGATGAAACTTTTAATATTTTGCATTTCACATTTAAATATATTTTGGTCTGGAATTGATTTTTGTGTGTGATATGAAGTAAGGATATTTTTTCCATAGGGATGACCAACTATCCTGGCATCGTTTATATTTTTACTACTGATTTACAGTGCCACCTTTATCATATATCACATTTCCACATATACGTGGTTTATTTTTTGCCTCCCTATTTTCTTCTGTGGGTCAAGTTGGTGTTCCTGTGCCAATACCATACTGTCTAATTATTGTAGCTATGTAAGTCTTGACATCTGAAACATCATGTTCTCCTAACTTTGTTCTTCATCAAGGAAGTACTGGCTATTTCTGTCTTCATTCTCTTTCTTATAAATTTTAGAATTATCTGTTCAAGTTCCTTGAAAAACTTTGTTGGATGGATTTGTATTGGATCTATAGATCAATTTGGGGAGAACTGACATCTTATGAAATTGTCTTTCCAACCCTGAACATGATATATATCCTCACATTTATTCAGGTCTTCAATGTCTTTCAATAATTTTATCCATAAAATCTTGTACATCTTTTGTTAGATATATCCCCAAGTCCTTTATTTTTGATTTCTATTGCAAATGATACAGTTTTAAAATACTACATTTCTATAGCACAGCCTTATGATACCAAGGTCATGGGTTCAGATCCCTGTACTGGCCAGCCCCAAAACAAAACAAAACAAAACAAAACAAAACAAAACAAAACAAAACAAAACAAAACAAAACAAAACAAAACAGTGACATTTAAGATTATTTTTTATATAGAGAAATGCAGTTGATTTTTGTAAGTATAGTGATCTTATATTCATATTCCTTGATACACTTTCTTACTAATTCTCATTTGTCTGTAGAATTTTTCGTATTTTCTGAGTATAGTCAAAGGATCTGAGAATACCAACAGTTCTGTTTCTTCCATTTCATTTATTATACTTTTTGTCTTTGTTTCTTTGTAAGCACTGTCTGGGACTTCCAGTACTATGCTGAATAGAAGTGGTTAGAGCAGGAATCCTTGTCCTGTTTTGCTGACTTTAAAGGAATGCTTCTAACATTTAAACACTGAGAATGAAGTTAGCTGTGGGTTTTTGGTAGAAGTGTTTTTATCAAGTTAACAAAGTTCCCTTCAGTTTTTACTTTGCTAAAAGGCATTAAACTTATCAAATGTTTTTTTCTGTAGTTATTGTGATGATTATATGTTTTTACTTTTGTCTATTAATGAGATGAGTGAGATTTTTTAGATTTTCTAATGTTTAAAATTACCTTAAATTCCTGGGTTAAGTTAAACTTGATCATGGGGAATTATGTTTTTTATGTACTGTTGGAGTCAGTGTACTTATTGTTCAAGATTCTTTTTTTTTTTTTCCTTTTTGTCTTTTTTTCGTGTCCGGCAACGGATCGCAACCCTCAGTGTCGCGCCTGCACCGGACCGGGACCGGCAACGGGATCGCAACCCTCGGTGCTGCGCCCGCACCTCGCTCAGCCAGTGAGCGGGAACGGGTCTGTATGTGGGATCCGAACCCTCGGCGGGAGCGCCACTGCGCCCCCAAGCGGCGCACTGTAGCAGTGCGCCACCGGGCTGGCCCATTATTGTTCAAGATTCTAAGGCTGTCTTCCTGAGTGGGATTGGCCTGTAATTTTTATATTTTGTATTATCCCTGTCTGGTTTCTAGTATCAAAATTTATTCATCTTCTAAAATGCATTGGGGTCTCTCTTCTCTTTCATTTCTCATGGAAGATTAGAATAATTTACTCCTTGAAAGTTTGGTGGAATTTACCTATAAAACAATCTTTTTCTCTTGTTTTTATAAATGGAAAACTTCTAATTTCATTTATTTAAAGGAGTAAAGGGCTATTCAGGCTATTTTTTTTTTTAAGTCACTTTTGGCAAGGTATATTTCTCTAGGAATTTGTCCATTTCATTTAAGTTTTTGAACTCATTGACATGCACTGATCAATCATGTTCTCCTTGTCGTCTCCCTCATTAAATTTTCACCATTTTATACCATTTTACCCTGCTTGGTAGCTGTTATCAACCCTTCATCTTACAAATGAGGAAACAGAGGTTGAGAGAGTGGAAGTCGCTTGTCTAGGTCAAAATGATATTGGAGGTAGGGTCCAGGGGGCCCGATAGTTGGCCTCAACCCACCCCATATTCTTATCAGGCTCTTGACTCCACCAAAGGAAGGAATTGGAAGGCATACTCACAGTAGAAAGTGAAAACAAGTTTAATATAACAGATAAGAAATACAGGTTCCACAGAGAGAGTGCGGCATAGCTCCAGAGACTGAGCAGGGCGCACACCAAGTTTAACACAAAAGCAAGAAATGCACACACTTAAAGTTCAGTACAGGATGCAGGCTGGCTCAGGAGAGTGAACAGCCACCTGCTGAAAGTAAGTTCGATACAAAGTGAAGTACACACACCTTAGTCAGGGAAGTGAGGGTCGCTTCCGGGAAAGTGAGCAACAGCCCCGCCTTCTGCTGGGATTTGGCTTTTATAGTTTTGCTATCTAATGAATATTCAATTAAGGGGGTGGTTCTCAGGTATGTGACATTGGTCTTGCACAAGCTCAGTTGCTCTCTTCCTGAAGCATGTACATTGGTCAAGTCGTGTCTCGTGCACCAGGCATATTCGAGAATATTCTGTGCTCTCTAGAACCTCTAGTGGAAGGTCATTCAGCTACCAGGGTTATATTACGCTTATCTACTGAGCATGCCCACTCTCTGGATTTGCATAAGCCAGACGCTTGTGGTCTCATTCTTCCCTTGTTGGTGCAGAAAATAGGTCTAACTTGCAAGGTAGCTTTCCTCTAGGGGAGGGCACAGGGGAGGGGCCTGAGACCTTGGTGAATGGGTTGAAACTCAGAGGTGTGTCCTGAAAGTGGAGCCCGGGGAAACTGAGCACCTCCAATATCAAAACAACCAGGAAGTGGCAGAGCCAGGATTTAAATGCAGATTTTTCTGAATTGCACACTGTTGTTTCTACTGCTTCATGCTGGGCCTTGAGGAATGGGCAAGATTTGGACAGGCCACAATGGGAAGGGAAGGGCACGCATGGATGAGGAATGGCATGTGCAAATGCACGGAGATGGGCATGCCAGAACAGGGAGGGGTCTGACTGGGCTGAGTCCTGCAGTGGGAGTTGGGAGAGTTTGAGGTGAGGTTGGTGTGGGTGCATGCCTTGCTGCTGAGTCCTGTTGGGAGACCTGGAGAGGCAGGAAACACTGCTGTGCTCCCAGGGGACTCACTGACTAGTTGGAGAGTCAAGACTAACCCAGAGGTGTCAGGACCAGGCTACTTGCCATGTGGATGGTGGGGACAATGGGTGTTGTCAGAGTTTTGAGAAGATGCACCCTTGGGTGGGGTTGTTGGTGTTTTGGCTGATGTGCCTGATGGTGAGGGGGGAGGCACGCTGAGGTCAGGATGAGCGCATGGGCAGGGGTATGACCACTGCAAACTCAAAGTGTGTCCAGGAGGCTGGTGCTGAGCCTCAGCACTTGGTCTCTCCTTCTCTGCTCCCCACCTGCTGGTCTAGCTTCTGCTTCCTTTTTTTCTTTTCCAAACGGTGGAGACCATTTTTGTGGTTTAGGATAGAAAGCCACGATGGTTTTGATGCATCCTTTACATGCACATTTTAAATTAGGGACTTGTCAGCTGCGTAGAGGTGGCAGGCTGGTGTGAGGAAGCCAGCTGGGATGTTCCCAAGGTGTTGGAATGTGCCCCCTTTGCCTCAGAAGTTCTGCCTGTGAAAATTCTCAGACCCTCTGGGCTATGTCCATGTCCATCTGGAGCTGTTGACCTCTGCGCGTGCCAGTAGGATCTGGCCAAATGGTTTGTCAGATAGATGCCAGCTTCTTTCATCTCCACAAATGTCCCTTTTCCAGGGAGAGGGAAGCAGAGAAAGCAGGGTGGATGCCAAGGTCCGAGAGTCAGAGGGCCTGGGTTTGATTCTTAGTGCTGCCTCTTAATGAGCAGTAGCTTAACCCGTCTGGGCCTCTGTTTCCTCATTTACACAGGGCCGTGATAATAGTGCCCATCTCATAGGGGTATTCAAGGGATCAAATGATGTAAGAATCGTGCCAGGCTTATGAAAGCACTCAGAATGTTAGAAATTGTTATCTCTTATCATGTTTTCTTTAGGAGAATTATTTACTAACTGCAAACCACAAAGGAAAAGTTCGAGGTGCTACCAGATTGTATAACTTGGGGTCTATCTTTGTCTGAGGGTAGTGGGAATCGGGGAAAGTGCCCATCTCTGAGGAAGGTCTGAGGATCCTCATTTCTATTTTTTTTTTTTATCCTTTTTGTCTTTTTTCGTGACCGGCAATGGATCACAACCCTCAGTGTCGCGCCCGTACCGGACCGGGACCGGCAACGGGATCGCAACCCTCAGTGTTGCTCCCGCCCCTCACTCAGCCAGTGAGCGGCCGGTCTGCATATGGGATCCGAACCCTCGGCGGGAGCTCAGGTCTCTCTGACTTCAAGCCCAATGTTCTTTCCTCTGGGCCTTAGCCCTCCCCATAAAACATCAGCTGTCCAGTGGTTCCTCACAGAATATGTCCCATAGTCATGATGGAGCTGGGAAGAGCCTGGGAGAACCCTGGGTGGTGACCTTGAAGATGGGATCTGGTTCTCACCTTTCCCCCTCCATCCTTTTCTCTCAAGGACTGCCACCATGGGCAGGCTGGTTTGGGGTGGGTGGGGTAGGAAGTGTGTCTCAAATCCCACAAGGGAATTCATGGGCAGGGAGAGTAGGGGCCTGTCTTCTCTGGACCCAGGAAATGGAGGGTCCTGTTGGGCACATCAGCGTGCATCATCCAGGCCTTTCCTGGTGGGTGGTCTTAGTTAAAGAACATTTTATGTTCTTGGGCTCAGCTGTGAGCTGCCTGGATTTGGTTCTGGCTTTTTCCATCATGACCTCAACCGGGAGGGATTTTTTGCTTGTCTTCAGCCATTGTGAGCCGCTTGCATGCCTACCTGTGGGGCTGTGTTAGGGCTGCCAGCCCTTCAGGATCTCCGTGATGAAGTGCTGGGTTCCCTGCCTCCCTCATTTGCTCCTTTCTCTACCCGGAGAGCTCTCCTTCGGGCTGTTGGCCCAGTTTCCACCAAGAGCCCTCTGCCTCGCCGATTGCCTCTCTGAGTTCTCAGCCAGCGCAAATCCTTCCTCTTGTAATCTTTGCACTTGTCTTGTGTGTTTGTTGTGGATGATCCTTAGAATCATCTTTTCAGGCTGCTTTCAGGTGCTGGACCGAGATCTTATAGTAGAAAAGACAAAGACTCATCAGCTAGCTGCCTTGGCTTTCTGGGCCTCGGGTTGTTCCTTCCTTACTGGGAAAAAACTAACAGTGTCAATAGCTGCCTTCTGCAGGTGCTCACTAACTGCCAGGCACTGGGCTGGGTACTTTATGTGTGTTATCTTATTTAATATTGAATATTATTCATCATCTTGGGTAGTAACAATTTTTATCTTTATTCAACCTGTAAAAGCAGAAGCCAGAAGTTGAGAGAGAGTAAGTAACATACCCAAGGTCACATGCAGAGCTGGGATTTGATCTGAGGTCTGACTTCAGCGCCTGTCTCTCAATCCCACATTATATCAGGATACTACAGAAAATTCATGGAAAAATTGAACTAAAAGATAATATGAATCCCATATAAACTTTTTGAAGACATCTTGTACTGTGTTTCTGTGAGGATGTTTCATGAAACAAACAAAAAAAGCCCTCCTTGTGAAAGACATCCGTGAAACGCTCTTTCCACTCATCCTGGAGATTTAAAATGCACACACACATGTTAGAAGCCCTGAGAAGAAGAAACCTATTCATTTTTGTTTAAACCAGAATTTCACTGACTCCTTTAAAACACAGAACCCCTCCTTGTCTTCTTTCTCTCCTTCTTTTTAATGGAATACCACTTAATGATCTTGCATACCTTGTATTTTCTGGAACACACTTTGGCGACCTGTATAAGGCTAGTCTCTTCTCTTTGGACCTCAGTTTCCCCATCTGTAATATTAAGGGTTTGGGGCATCAGGTGTAACTGGTACTTGATCTGCCCTCCAGCTGTAAGCAACCAGAAATCTGGATAAAATATATGAAACAATTGTTTCCAGACATTGAACTACAGGCAGCTCAGGGCTGTGGTTCCTGAGAGGAGAAAAAAGAGGTGAGTTCTGACTTTTTACCTGGAAGCCATTTTTAAACTGTGGCACAGGAAGGGGGAACCTGAGCAGAGTGGGACAGTCTCCCTGATTCCATTGGAGTCTGGGAAGTTGAGCTCATCGGGGGGTCTGTCCTGTTGATCCTGCATTCATTCTGCCAGTTAGTCATTGAGTAGAATTCTAGGCCATGCACTGGAGAAAGCTCCCCCAGGGAGGGTCATTTGGGCTAAGACCTGAAGGATGAGTATGAGTTTATGAGGCAGAAAGAGTAGGGGGAGGAAAGGTGTTGGAGGCAGGGGGAAGGAAGGGGTAGGCATCGAGGCCCCACTGGGAGTCCCCCAGCGGTCCCTACCAGCTCACGCCTGGGTGGAGAAGGGCTGTGAGACAAGTGAGAGCTGGGCTTGGGTAAGCCCTTTGCTACCTCACCCAGGACAGGATAAGGGAAATGAGCATTAAGTGGGAGCCAGTGCCCCAAGGTGGGTGAGATTGAGTGGGGCTGTTTCCTCAGTCCCAGGACCTGATCTCCAGGACCAGGGTGGGATGTCCATGGGGATGCTGACTGGGAAAACTGCATAGGGAGGTGGGTCTTGGGGGAAGGGGATAGTTTGCCCAGGGGTATGTGCAGCACTGCGAACTTCCCAACCTGTCACCCCACTGGCCGAGGCCATTGCTCAGGCTGACAGTGGAAACGCTTGCACAGGAGAAATGCTTCCATTCAGGTGCCTCGTGTTAATCTGCAGAGAGGATGGCTGTGGTGGCCAATTTTGATTCGCTTGTCTTTGAATGGGGGTAATTGCTGGGAGTTGCCAGTGTTCCAGATTGTTCCCCGGAAGAAGGGGAGGGGGAGAGGATCTGTCAAAGGCTGTGCTGAGTGCTGCCCTGCAGGCAGCATGGTGAAGCCTCAGGGGTGGAGTGAGGGTATCACAGTGTGCAGGGCCACAAGGGCCCCCAGGGGCCACACAGGGTGGACCTCTGTAGGCTGCTTGGCTCCAGGGGAGGATCCAGCCATTCCCCACATTGGCCGTGCTCCCTGCGGTCCCTCAATCCATCTGGGGCTCCCCAGGCTGGGGCGTGTGTGTGTTAGGAACCCCTTTGCCTTTCTCTGATTGCAGGAGACCAGCGCAGCAGCGGGGTCACTGAGGCCAGCAGCCTCCTGGGGGGCTCACCACGGCGTCCCTGTGGCCGGAAGGGCTCCCCGTATCACACGGGGCAGCTGCACCCTGCAGTGCGTGTGGCTGACCTTCTGCAGCACATCAACCAGATGAAGACGGCCGAGGGCTACGGCTTCAAGCAGGAGTACGAGGTGCACGCAGGACCCCTCCCCGGGCCTTAACTGGTTCCTCCCCACTGTGGATCCTGACCCTGTCAACCCTCAGCCCAGCCCAGCATGAATGGGATCCCTACTCTGCCATTCCCCAAATCAACCTAACCCTTTTGACCTTGACCCTGATCCTCATCCTAACCTCTGACCTGGTTTTTCACTCTCATCCTAACCCTGATTTGAAATCTGTCCTTGAATCTCATCTCAGTGTCCATCTGGATTCTGATCATGATCCTTATCCTGTCCCTAACCTGAACCTGACCACCGACACTGACCTTGACCTAACCCCAGTATAACATTGACCCTGATTCTTGTCCTGAGCTCCATTTGAACTTTGATTTGGATCCTATTCCTCCCTCCTTCTGGACTCTGACACCACTGTTATCCTAATCTTAATCTGATCCTCACTTTCCCCTTCTTCCCAGCTCAGATCTGGATTTGACCCTTATTCTAAACCTTGCCCTTATTCTAAAATGTCTCTGAACCCTGACCCTCATTTGCCCTCTTTTCTCCTATCCCTTCCCCCCCACACTCCTTGGTTTTGAACCTGGTCCCTCACTGTTAAAGGGCTATACGGTGACTTTATCTCAGGTGGTCCCACCCCCATCCTGCCCACATCATCCCTGTTGAGGGGAAGGAGCCCCTCCCCCACTGACTACCACCTTCCCTTCTGGCAGAGCTTCTTTGAAGGCTGGGATGCCACCAAAAAGAAAGACAAGCTCAAAGGCAGCCGGCAGGAGCCAATGCCTGCCTGTGAGTCCTGGGGAAAGGCTTGGGGTCCAGGGTGGCGGGGGGAGGGATTGAGAAGGAGGAGCGTAGATGGAGTGAGCTCTGGGGCAGCTCAGAGGCTGCGGTAGTGTGGCTGCCATTTATTGAGGGCCTAGCCCATATCAAGCCCTGTGCTGAGCTTTATATTCTTTATCTCACTTATCCCTCTCAACTACCCCGTGAGGTGGGAAATATTATAATCCCCATTTTGCTGATAAGAAAACAGGCTTGGGAGGTAAAGACCCCTGTTCAAGGTCTTGGGCTTCCTTGACTCCACAGCTCAGACTCTAACTCCTGGCCTGACCTGCCTCCGTGGTGTGCAGAGCCTAATGGCCGGCCCTGAGCCTCTAGCTTCCCTGGCTGCCCTGCCACTGTCCCACCCCTGGCCTGCAGGAAGCCTTCTCCAACTGCCCCAGCTCTGGGCTCTCCAGTTCAGCCCCTGCTCTGTGTTTACAGATGATCGGCACCGAGTGAAACTCCACCCAATGCTGGGGGACCCCGATGCTGACTACATTAATGCCAACTACATAGACGTGAGTGCTTTGCCCCTGCCATTTCTGCTGACCTGGCCCTACCCACCCCAGGCTCACTGTCCAGGCAGGGCAGAAACCTGTCAGGGAACAAATGGGGCTTCATATGGCTGAAGCACCCCCATCTCCTGCAGTCAGTGCCAGAGAGCTTAGAGCAGGGCAGAGCAGAGCGGGCGACAGCTTTCAGGAAGGCTTCCTGTAGCTGGAGTTGGCCTGAGAGATGAGGTGGGGACGGGGGTGGTCAGTAAAGCAGAATGAAGGGAAGAGAGAGACAGCTAGGCCTAGAGGCGAGGAAGAGTTCCCTCTCAGGGAGAAGGCTTGGAGGGTGGGATTCTTATGTTTCAGAGTGAGGCTAAAGAGGTAGGCAGGGGCTGGACTGTTAAGGCCTCAAGTTCCAGGCTAAGGAGTTGGGGCTTTTTCGTAGGAGCACTAGGAAGTTGTTAAAGTGTTTTGACTATGACCAGAGTTGTACTCTGAGAATAATAATGTATGTTTATTGAGCATGTACTGTGTGCCAAGCACTGTGCTAAGTATTTTATACCCAATACCTCATTTTATGTCACCTGTACAACCACCTTCCAAGATAGTTAGCATCATGACCTCACTTTATAGTTGAGGAAACTGGGATTCAGAGAGGTGAAGCTACTTGTCCCAGGTCACAGAGCCAGTGAGTGGTAAAGAAAAGACTCAAACCTCAGCCTATCTGTGTCTCCAAGGCCTTTGCTGCTAACCATTAGACTATCCCGCCACCCACTGCAGCAGCTGGATCTGGCTGGATTGGTGGGAGGGGCCAGAGATAGGGCAGATAGCCAGGAGGCCAAGACTTGGGTGTCAAGAAGAGGTGAAAAGTATACTCCCAGGTGCGGTTGAGGGGTGAGTGGGGATGGCCCAGGGACCCTGCTCAGGCTCCTCCAATCTCTACAGTAAACCAAGTTTGGGAGAGCATTATTTATTCACTTATGAAATAAATTCTGAGCACCTCCTATGTGCCAGGCATTGTGCTAGTGGGAGAGACAGCTAAACATTTATAAAAATATAATAACCTCAGATTAGATGGGAAAGCACAGGCCAGAAAAGAGGGGTGGCTTTCCCGTGTCACACAGCAAGTTTGTGGCAGAAGCAGGGCTTGAGCTGGCTCCAGGTGGCTGGAGAGGACAGGGCAGGACATCTCAGGTAGGCAGCAGTGTAAGCAAAGGCCTGAGGTGCCAGGAGGAGTGAGGCACGGACCTGGGGGCTGAGACAGGCAGGGACTCTGGAGATGGTCACTCCTCTCCCTCTTCTTATCCTCTTCCTGGGGCCAGATGTGCTACCCCACGTTTCCCGCAACCCCTTGCCTTCTCCCTCTCCTCCCATCCTCTCCCTTGCTGGGGTAAGAGCCGGGCCTGGCCTCGCAGACTTGGGCAGCTTTGGTGATGGTGGGCCTCTCCTTGGTCAAGGTCCCAGTCAGCTTCTCTTGGGCCCCGGCAGGGACATGCTACCCCCACCCCTGACCCAGCCGCCTCTGCTCTGCCCCCCTGCTCACATCGCCCATTCTGGCCACTCCTGTGCTCCGTCACCTCCATCTGCCTCTGGCCTAACATCTGTCTCTTTTGCTTTGTACTGTTCCCTCACTGGAATCATTAAGATTCGGATAAACCGTGAAGTAAGTATCTGTACCTCCTCCTCCTCCTCCTGTCTGTCTGACTGGCTGTATCTCAGACTCTCTCACAGTCTCTGGCTGTCTCTCTCTCTGTCTCTGTCCCTCTTCCCCTCCACTCGTGTGCACAACACCAACCGTCCATTTCAGCAGCCGGGCTGGGGCTGCCCAGGGCTGAAGAGTCAACAGTATCCCTAGAGGAAGCGACTCCCCGCCATCCTCCATGCCTTGTGACGGGGCAGCAGTGTTGGGGGTGCTTCCCCTGGCCCCACTTTTTACCAGCCACCACTGTCTTACCACCCCCGTCCCTGAACCCCACCATTCCCAGTGAGTCCTCATTAGCCACGTCTTCTGCAGGGCGCTTGGCGGGTGGTGGCCGGAGCGGGGGAAGCTGCCTTGGGTTGGCTCTGTGTCTGCTGCTTAGGGGTCAAGGTCTTCAGACATTCCCGGGTCAATCCCCCTAAAACTAGTTTCCCTGGTGTTCACATCCCTTTGTATCACTTTGCTTGAAACTCAACCTCAGCCAATTTGCCTTCAGTTTTGCCCAAATTTGAATGTTTTTTTGGGGGGGGCCGTTTGGGTATTCTATTTTTTAAAAATTGTGCCATTCTTTTTTGACTTTCAAGAATAGGAAGGGCCGGCCCGTGGCTCACTCGGGAGAGTGTGGTGCTGATAACACCAAGGCCACGGGTTCGGATCCCATATAGGGATGGCCGGTTCGCTCACTGGTTGAGCGTGGTGCTGACGACACCAAGCCAAGGGTTAAGATCCCCTTACCGGTCATCTTTTTTTTAAAAAAAAAAAAAAAAAAAAAAAGAATAGGAAAAAACCCCTAATTCACCTAGCAATCCTCTGAGTTGATTTTTTATACATATAAGTATATATTATTTTCCTGATATTTGATGACTGATGGGATTGTTTGCTATTTTGTGGATACCTTTCCTATTTTATTTCCTTTTTCCTTTTAAAATATATTTCTTTGTTATGATTGCTAACATGCTGTTCATTATCAACTTTCAGGCAACATGGAGTTGCCTAATATTTAGAGTGAAAGATCCCCACAGTTGCATCTGCTGGTGATGACTGGATAACCCAGATGTATCCTTTATTTTGAGCGTGCTTAAACAGTTGGTTTTGTAAAGTTCCTGCATTTAAAAGGAATAGTAGGCTTACAAAATGCAGTGAATATGCTCAGCCCTAGTGCTCCCATTAGGAAGGGAGGAATTCAGGTCATTCTGCTTCTGAACTTCTCAATTTCCACCCAGCCCCACTTACTCTTCAATCCCACATATTTGGTTCATTGTTGTCAGGCTCTAAAGAAACATCCTTAGAAGACCTGGCTTAAGACTTCTTCAAATGCCAGCTAACAATAGTGTCACTGGCTGAGCACCTGTTATGTGCCAGGCACCTTAGACGAATCAGTTCACCTTTACCATCCTCTGCGGTAGGGACCATGTGGACCTACGTTTGACAGATGAGAAAATTGAGGCTTCGAAAAGTTAAGTGACCTTCTCAAGGCCACATACCCAGCCTTAGCCCTTGACCCTTACACAGGCCTGTGGTTCTCACCCTTTGGGGAGCATCAGGATGCCCCAGGGGTCTCGCCTACGGTGCAGGTGCTCAGTCCCCAGCTCCACCCAGACTCCAGGGAGGGCTCAGGTGTATGCCCTGGGGCAAGCTCCCAGCACCTGCTGATGTTTCCTGGAGTGTGAGGCTGAGTGCTCTCTGATGCTGGTCTCTAAAGTGGGTGTGCACAAAGTGATGTACTTCCTTTAGAATCAGATCATTCAAAATGTCTATTTGTGTCCTCTATGTAATATAATTGTGCAAAATACACGTGTGTATTTAGAAAGTTAATGTGCAGCTATGGAGGATTATTGCTCAAAAACTTGTTTTAAATAGGGTTGTGTGATGCTGTAGCATACTTTCTCCAAAAAGATACCCCCAGACAACAAAAGGATAGGACACTGGAACAAAGCAGTTGAGTTTTAGACCAGCTGGTCATTGGGCCAGTTGAGCAGTTTTAATTGAATTCCATTCCTCCATTATTTACCAACTAGCATTTGAGTGCTGGCACTGTGCTGGGTCCTGGGGGATGGAGATGGATGAGTCAGATGAGGCCCTGCTCTCATGAGGGATTCATTGGTTTTGGCGGGGAACAGACTGTTCCCAGCTTGACCAGCACTGGGGGTGGGAGGGCAGCTATCGCAGCACCTGTAGAGGCCCTCCCCATGCTCACCTCCGCCTTCCCCTCTGTCCCCAGTTGCCCTCAGCTCTGCTGAGGATTTGAAGCAGAGACAGTGGCGTGGAACAGCTGTGGAGGGAATTTGGCTAGACCTGGAGAGGTTTTCGGTAGTGAGGGTCGAGTGACTCTGGGAGGTTTTTCATCACTAGTAACTTTGCCTGGGGTTTGGTCATTTTCCTGGGAATGCTGAGTAGGTATATGACAGTATCTCTGAGTGCATCTGTTGCTGTTGTCTTCATATTGCATAAGAGAACAGAAGCTTAGGGAGGCTGAGAGCCTGGCCACTCAGTGTGTTTTGAGGCCCCGCAGTGTCAGTATCACTTGGGAGCTGGTTGGAAATGCATGATGCCCAGTGCACGATGCCCACCCATACCTTCTGAATCTGAGTCTGCCTTTTAACAAGATCCAGTGGAGATTCATGTGCACATTTTAGGCTGAAAATCACCCCCTTAGCACTCAGAGTCACACAGCTTCTATGTGGGCAGAGCTGTGATGGACCCAGGTCCATCTGACTCCAAGACTCAGATTCTTTTTTTTTTTTCTTCCTTTTTGTCTTTTTTTACTGACCGGTAACGGGATCGCAACCCTCAGTGTCGCACCCGTACTGGGGACCGGCAACGGGATTGCAACCCTTGGTGTCGCGCCCGCACCGCGCTCAGCCAGTGAGTGGGAACCGGTCTCCACATGGGATCCGAACCCTCAGCGGGAGCGCTGCCGCGCTCCCAAGCGGGGCACTCTCCAGTGCACCACCGGGCCGGCCCCAAGACTCAGATTCTTAACCCCTGTAGTAAATCACCTTCCACGCCAGCAGTTCTCGATATCCACACTGTTTGCATCTTCAGGGATACTGTTTAACATTTAAAATAGCAGTAATCATTATAATCATAGCTACTACTGATTAAATACTGACTTTGTGTTTGACACAGTGCCTAACACTTAACATATATTGTCATATTTGCTCACAACAGCCCTAGGAGGTAAATACTATAATTATCCCATTTTATCCATGTGAAATGGAGGTGCAGAGAAGGGAAAAGGTTTTTCCTAAGGGCACACAGCTAGCAAGAGGTCGAGCTGGGATTTGAATCCTGGCAGTCTGGCTCCAGAGCCCTTGGGCCTGGGAAGCCCATGTGGCCAGAGGAGTTGCTGGGAGCTATGTTGAGGGTGTGAGCTTGAGGCACGGGTGGAGTTGGATGGTTTTCTCTTGCATCAGCTCTGCAGGACTCCTCCCCTTCCTGCTTTGCCTGTGTCAATGCTCTTGGTATCTGGTGGGCTCTGTGCCCAGAAAGATGAGGCCTTGTGGCAGGACCTCAGGGGTGGCTTGGCCCTGGGGTGGGGTGGGAGAGCTGGTTCCTCTCCTCAGCCTGGGGGCTCTGGAGGTGGAGGATGAAATAGCTCCTGGCCTCTCTGTTGTGGGAGACAGTGCAGGTAAAGTGCTTAGCACGGGATGTGACCATAACAGGGACTCTAGAAAGCTCATTATTGTTATTATTGATTTTAAAGATTTAAAGATTTTACCTAAGGGCCATGAGTAACCCCTGCGCCTTCATCTAGGCCTCCCAAGCTCTGGGTGACTGAGGTTGTGTGGGCGTTACTGTCTATTCTGATTGCCCTGAGGGGGATTGGGATAGCTGACAAACTCTGGTTGTCCCGTGTCTGGCGTCTGGGTTGATTAGGGCTTCTGGAACTCTGGGAACAGGGCGGGGTCATCATGGACTTTGTCTCCAAACAGCCTGGTTGCAAGCAGATAACTGTCCCCACTTATGGAATGGAAGACCCTGTAGGCCCATAAAGGAGTCATGTATCCCCTAGGGTCACACAGCAAAGTGGGGATTAAACCCAAGACACTGGGGTCCCAGCTGCCCTTTCATCCTTCCTTGGGGACTGCAAGGACAAGGTCACCCTGGTTAGGAGGTTCTGGGGATGAGGGTGGGACATTCCCTGGTAGGGTAGAGGGGTGTGCTGCTTCTGGGAGAGGAGGGCAGAGGAGGCCTGAGGGAGTAAGGGGCTATTCCCTGGGGTCTCACCATGCCCTCTTCTCCTGTTACAGGGTTACCACAGGTCAAACCACTTCATAGCCACTCAAGGTACCTGGCATCTCTGCCCATGTGCACCCCACCCCCCCGTGCCCTAGTGTGCTGGAATGCCACCCTGCCTTTCTGCCTTCCCCCCTGACCTGCTGGAATCCTATCTGCCTCCCCATCTGTCTCTCTGTCTGCTCCCCACTCTCTGGCTGGGTCTCTTGGAATCTGGCCACCAGCCTTTGTCATTTCTCTGTGTTTATGTCTCCCTGATGTGCTCAGTCCATCTGTAGCTTCCTGGTCCATCTGTCTGTCTCCAAGGTGGTGCATGCAACAGGGCTGGTCAGGCGTACTCTTTGTGGGTGTGGATTGTGCCTCTTGGCTTGGTGGCTGCCTGGGTCTGTCTGGCTATGTCTCTTTCCCCTGAATGTTCATCTGTCCAACCCTCCTGGAGACTTGCACCATGAACCAAGGGTCTGGCCCTGCAGCTCTGCCTCTTGGGTCACACTCAGGATGACTGGGCTGTGCCACCAGTCCCTCTTCTGATACCGCCCACCCCCAGGGCTCTACAAGCATGAGTTGGCAGTGGATGGGGTGGGTGTGGATAAGCACAAAGCCCCCATTGGGGCTGAGGGAACCTCCTGGCCTGGGGTGGTGGTGGGGGTCAACAGGGTGTGCTGGCCCTGGGTGGGGACCTTTCCTCAGGGACAGGCACCTTTTGTGCCCCCAGGGCCGAAGCCTGAGATGGTCTATGACTTCTGGCGCATGGTGTGGCAGGAGCACTGTTCCAGCATCGTCATGATCACCAAGCTGGTAGAGGTGGGCAGGGTAAGCGGGCACGGGGTGAGCTAGGGGGCACGGCAGGCCAAGGGGGGCAGTGAAGAGCCCACTGAGTCCTGTCCTGTGGGGGCCCCAGGTGAAGTGTTCACGGTACTGGCCAGAGGACTCAGACATGTACGGCGACATCAAGATCACGCTGGTGAAGACGGAGACTCTAGCTGAATATGTCGTGCGCACCTTTGCCCTGGAGCGGGTGAGTCTCCCATCACCTGTTCCCTGCAGAGGGTGCCTGAGTAGAGGGGCAGAGCCCACTCCACCTCCCCTAGCCCAGGCAGCAAGCAGGGGGGTGAGGAGGGCACCACTGCCTTCTAGCAAGGAAGCTACTGGATAGATGTGCACCGTAGAAGGATGGGGAAGTAACTATATTTGCTGGTGACTCCAAGAAGTTGAGACAACGGAGATGATGACGATAGCCGCCAGGTGCTGGCTCCTACTCTGTGCTGGGCACTGTGCTGGGCTCATTACACATGTACTGTTCAGCCCTGGAAAGCTCTGTGGGATTATGGGTTTACTATTAGCCCCATTTTACAGATAAGGAAAGTGAGACTCAGAGGGATTACATCACTCATTAGAGCCCACATGGTCAGTGACTGGCCAGTGAGTCCTGGGCACAATCTCATTTGATCTGCTCTGTAATATCCTTGGAGGACGGGCAGTTTCTGCCTTGAAACTAAGACCTAGAGAGTCAAAATGACAGAGGTGGCAGAGGTGGTGGGTGTTAACAGCACACCCCTGTACAAGTCCTGCATGCAATCTGCTCGTCTAACTTTGGGAAAGTGGTCTCTCCCCTTTGAGCCTTAGTTCTCTCACTTGTGTGATGGGATGTTTATACCCACCTCATCAGTAAATTTACTATTGGGATTAACTGAGATCATGCAGTAAGGTGCTCACACAGTGCCTGGCACACACGAGTGTCTAATAGATGCTGCTGTTGACTCTGACCGCTATTACTGTCATCTCCCCAGAGAGGCTACTCTGCCCGACACGAAGTCCGCCAGTTCCACTTCACAGCATGGCCAGAGCACGGTGTCCCCTACCATGCTACAGGGCTGCTGGCCTTTATCCGGCGTGTGAAGGCCTCCACCCCACCCGATGCTGGGCCTGTTGTCATCCACTGCAGGTGGGAGCGCTGGGAATCCCCAGGAGAAGAGGGACCAGTGGGGAGTTGGGCTGGGAGTGGGGTTGGTTCAGGGTCCATCAGAGGGACCAGGCCTGGGCTTATCTTAATTGGAGACAGAAGTGACTTAATTGGAGGAGAAAGTGACTCTCAAAAGGCCCTTTGTCCTTTGAGCTTTGGCTCTGAGGTTGACACCTTCATGTGCCTCCCAAGACCTATTGAGCCCATTGGCCCAGATGCCAGGGGAGTACTGGAGAGTCGGAGGTGGCCTAGGGGTTGGTGAGGCACAGGCACGATCGAGTGCAGCCTACTTTCCCTCAACGACTGTTTGTCGCACACTGCTGCGTGCTAGGTTTGGTGCAGGGACTGCGAAGGACTTCACCTTCTCTTTGCCAGAAACGCAGTGGGCCTCGCCCATCCCTCGGCCTTCATACCCTCTGGTCCTTCACCTTCACACCCTCTTCCTGTGTTTGTCGCACACTGCTGCGTGCTAGGTTTGGTGCAGGGACTGCGAAGGACTTCACCTTCTCTTTGCCAGAAACGCACTGGGCCTCGCCCATCCCTCGGCCTTCATACCCTCTGGTCCTTCACCTTCACACCCTCTTCCTTTCCCAGCTGTTGCCTTGTTTGGCTCCTGGGAACCTGGCTGCCCTTCCTGCCTCTGCTCTGCTTCCTCCTTGGCTCCTCCACATCTTCCTCTTGACTCTGAAATGGGGGCCCAGTGCCCTGTCCTGGCTCCGCCCCACTCTCCTCCTGGTGAACTTGACCTTTAGCCCTTGTGGCTTTGGCAAGTCCCCTCGGCCCACAGTCCACAACCTCTATGTCTTGTCCTGGCTCCTCTTATCAGCTCCCCAAATGCCACATGGCAGACTCATTCTCCCTGCCCTGCCACCCCCAAACCAGCTTCTCTTTGATTTCTTTAGGCCTCTAAGATGCCATATTTCAAAAATAAAACTTTATTAAAATATAATATACTTAAAGAGCACAAATAATAAGTGTACAGTAAGGCACCACATAATGACGTTTCAGTCAATGATGGACCGCATATGCGATGGTGGGCCTGTAAGATTACAGTGGGGCTCAGAAATTTCTACTGTCTAATGACATCATAGCTCTTGTAACACTGGGAAGTCTACAGCAGGGGATAGTAGCGTCCTAGTCCTTCACTCACCGCTCACTTGCTGACTCACACAGAGCAACTTCCAGTCCTGAAAGCTCCATTCGTGGTAACGGTGTACCATTACTATACACATGTACCATTTTTGTCTTTTATCTCATATTTTTACTGTACCTTTTCTATGTTTAGATATGTTTAGATACACAAATAAATACCTACCATTGTGTTACAGTTGCCTACAGTATTCAGTACAGTTACATGCCATACAGGTTTGTAGCCTAGGGGAGCCATAGACTGTATACCACGTAGCCTAGGTGTGTAGTAGGCTATACCATGTAGGTTTGTGTAAATACAGTCCATGATGTTCACACAGCAATGAAAATTGTCGAACGTATCCCCATTGCTAAGTGATGCATGACTGTATATATAACTCGATGAATTTTCACAAATTGATTATATCTGTGAAATAACCAGCTCTACTCAGATCAAGAAGCAGAGCATTAATGACACCCAGAAGCCCCTTTGAGCCCACTTCCAGTCTGTACCCCACTCCCAGAGCAAACACTACTCTGACTCTAAAGCATAGATAGTTTTGCATGCTTTTGAACTTGGTATAAATAGAATCATATAGCATGTGCTCTTTAGTGGCTGCTTTCTTCCTCTCAACTTTATGTTTGTAAGGTTCATCCATATTGTGTCATATTCCATTGGGTGAATAAAGCATAATGAATTTGTTCATTCTGCTGTTGATAGGCACAGGGGCTGTTTCCAGTTCTGAGCTATTATGAATAGTGCTGCTAAGGGCATTCTATTGCACATCTTTTGGCCAAGAAATGTACACATTTCTGTGGAGTATGTATGTAGGAGTGGAAATGCTATCTTTGTGAACATTCAGCTTTAGTAGATACTGCCAAACAGTTTTCCAGAATGGTTGTGCTAATTTAAGCTCCCAGCAGTGGTGTATGAGGTATGAAGTTGCCGTATGTCCTCGCCAGCATTTCAATACCAACATTTTCAAACCTGAAATCTTGGTGTCATCTTTGTCTACTCCCCCTCCCCCCCCAACTCTGCTCAACCTGGTGCTGAGCACGAGGATCACGGAGATGAATCCAACACAGCCCAGCTCTCAATGAGCTCCCAGTTGGGTTAGAGAGACAGCCACATAAACAACGACCACATGGCAGGAAGAGTGTTTTAATGACAGCCTTCCCAAATTGCTCTGTGAGCTCCAAAGAATGACATCTGCCTGGAAGGGTTGTGGGGGGCTCCAGTGAGTGTGTGAACGGGTGTGAGTGAGTGGAGTTTTGAAGAATGTTTGAGAGACTTGATGACATCCAAGAAGAAAGAACACTCTTGGGTGGAGCTCTGAGCGTGGTCTTTGTCCTTCTCCCCTAATCTAAGTTGCTAAATTGGGTTGACTTCATTTCTGCATTCTCCCTTCCCTTTCCCTTTCTCTCCTTCCCTGAGGCCCAGCCCCAGCTCTGTCCTCTATCACATTTCACCAGAACTCTTCCATCAGCAGCCTGCTCCCTGGCCTCTGCTTGCTGGGTGGGGGTGGGGGGATGGAGAGTGGGTCATCTTTCTGTGTTCCTGTCCCCTTTGTGGGATAGATATGGCCAGTGCCCTAGTCCCCCTCCTCTCTTCTTCTCCTTAGTCCTGGGCTTCCTCCCCAAGGCTCTGATGTGGTCGGGGGCCGCTCTCTCCCCAGCGCGGGCACCGGCCGCACAGGTTGCTACATCGTTCTGGACGTGATGCTGGACATGGCAGAGTGTGAGGGTGTTGTGGACATTTACAACTGCGTGAAGACCCTCTGCTCCCGGCGTGTCAACATGATCCAGACTGAGGTGCGGGACCCAGCCCTGTCCCCACCACTGCCTCTAGGACTTGGGTCTCTCTGGAAGGAGCTCAGAGCTGGTGGAGTATGTCCAAAGGGTGTCCTTAGGCCTTTTCCTTCCCTAGGATCATCTCTGAGCTCGGGTTGCCAACCTCTTCCCAAACTCAGCTCCGCTGTGTTCTGTTGGCTGAGGTCAAACAACAGCAGGTTCCAGAGTCAAGACATGCCTGGGTTTGCAGCCTTACTAGATCTGTTGACTGTGGGCTGTCCCTCCCAGGGTTGTCACAGGATGCCACATGAGATGAGTGGATGTTTCCATGAAGGTTGTTTCAAGTAGGCTTGGTCCAGCCTATAGTAACACATGGTCAGACTCTGCCTCAGAGCACCCTGCCTCAGCCTTGAGCTTGCTTATACCTGCCTCCCCCACAAACCGCCAGCTTCTCCTCGTTCTCATATTGTCGTCTCCTGTTCCAGGAGCAGTACATCTTCATCCACGATGCAATCCTGGAGGCCTGCCTGTGTGGGGAGACCACCATCCCTGTCAGTGAGTTCAAGGCCACCTACAAGGAGATGATCCGCATTGATCCTCAGAGTAATTCCTCCCAGCTTCGGGAAGAGTTCCAGGTGGGGGATGAGTGTGTGTGCACGTGTGCGTGTGCGCATGTGTGCATATGTGTCGGGAGGTCCTCGGTACTATAGGAGTCATTGAGGGCCAAGCAGGAGAGACCTGTCTGAGACCACAGGTAGAGGGACAGAGTTGGGCTACTAGGAAGGACTTGAGACAGTGGAGGGGGTGATGCTTCAAAGCAGTTAAGAGCCCAGGCTTTGAAGTCAGGTAAACCCGGGTTCAGGTCCTGGCTTACCTAGTTAAGAGCCCTGGGTATCCTTGAGCAAGTCACTACGCCTCTGTAAGCCTCAGTTATGTTACCCAGAAAAGGAAGACAGTTAACATGTCCCTTGCAGTGTTTGTATTCATGAGGATTCTTTTGGTTATAAGGGATAAAATCCAACTCCATGGCTGCTGTGACTGAAAAGTCTGGGGATGGTGCAGCTTCTGTTGTGGCTGGACCCTCGGGGTCAAGTGTTGATGCCAGTACTTGGTCTCTGTCCACTCTTGGTTCTGCTCTTCTGTTTTCGGCTTCATTCTCAGACCCACACCTGGTCCCCAGCAATGCCAGGCTCATGTCATCTCTACTGTTAGGAGACTCTGGAAAAAGGCATTTCTTGCTCCTAAGGGCCCCAACAAAAGTTCTAGACCAGACCCTCATGTGCCCATCCCTGAGCCAGTCACTGGGGCCAGAGAGAGAGCACACTGATTGGCCCAGGCTTTGGTCACATGCCCAAGGCCTGGTTCTGGGGGCGGGGCCTGAGATGCCCAAGTCCCTGGCTTGATTTAATGCTCAGGACTTATGTTCTGTTTGGATAGTGACATGACCAAGGAAGGTGACCACCTCTGCCAGGTACCTGGAGTCCGCTGTGTGGAGGACATGGCATTTCAGGACTTTTCTCATTGATAGCACTGATAAGCTAGTAACTCTCTCACTGTGCCTTCTGTGTATTGAGCCCTGCATGTGCCAGGCTCTGCTTGGTGCTTGGCATCATTTCACTTTAACTTCCTGACAGGCCCATGAAGTAGGCATGTTATTTTCCCATTTTATTTTATTTTTTTTTGAGACCGGCCGCACCACGCTCAGCCAGTGAGCGCACTGGCCATTCCTATATAGGATCCGAACCCGCAGCGGGAGCGCTGCTGCACTCCCAGCGCCGTGCTCTCCTGAGTGCGCCACGGGCTCGGCCCTTATTTTCCCATTTTACAGTTGAGAAAACTGAGGCTGAGAGATATAGTTGGTTACGTGGTGGCCAGGAGACAGACTCTACTTCCCAGAGCTCTGTCCAGGCCTTGGAGACAGGGAGCCTGGATCCCTGACCTCTCTCCCTTACCTCTGGACCTCAGTCTGACCATCTGTAAAATGGAGCTAATGACCCAGCCCAGGATCCTTCATGGGACTGTGAGGAGGCCCAGCAAGCACAACGTGACTCTCCATCCCCACCCCTGTCTCTGTGTAGACACTGAACTCAGTCACCCCACCGCTGGACGTGGAGGAGTGTAGCATCGCTCTGCTGCCCCGGAACCGTGACAAGAACCGCAGCATGGACGTCCTGCCACCTGATCGCTGCCTGCCCTTCCTCATCTCCACCGATGGGGACCCCAACAACTACATCAATG